GATCTGTAAGCTGCCCCATGCTTCACTTACCTGATCTGTATGCTGCCCCATCCCTCCAAATCTGTAGGCTGCCCCATGCCTCCTTACCTGATCTGTAGGCTGCCTCCTCAATTACATGATCTGTAGGCTGCCCCACCTTGCCCCCCTCCCTCGCAGATGCCCATGGTCACCAGGTAGGCAGCCCGGAATGGATGCCGGAATCCCACTGTCTATGCAACTTATCTGTGTAGTCCATGATATATGGGCTGTCTAGGGGGTCACTTCCAATTAGGCAGGATGTTAGTCAAATGAGAAACGCAAGGTAATAAATATGTGTGATAATAAATTATCAAAAGGGTGGGAATTGTTAAAGAAAATATTAACTGTCTATTTCTTGCCCTGTGCTTAATATCAAATTGATGCTTAAAAGCTATATCAAACAAGTACTGCGAGGACGAGAAAAAGAAACTCAGAGATGGAGAACGTGCAGAGACTTGGATTGGTCAAAACACATTAATGGGACATCTTCGAAAAGTATAAAGACACTGCTTTATCTGATCGTAGTGTGCGCCAGCTGAATGACTTTGAAAGTGCTAAAACTCTCTCACTTTGTTTTGTAATCCTGCTTGATTGTTCAATAATAATCTTTTTGATTTGGACCAGTTGTTTCACGTGCCTTATTTTCTTCCACAATGTTATGACGAATACAACAAATAGAAGAGTCAAACAACATACATTTAACAAGATAATCTTTTTACTTTGCTCTAATGTGAAATATAGACAATAACAGTAGGACTGGTCCCACATTATTCAGGCCTGGGAGAATGGAGCAGGTCTAGGGGTGCAGTGGCAGAGGCCAGTATGGAGCAGGTCTAGGGGTGCAGTACCAGAGGACATTAGGAGCAGGTGTAGGGGAACAGTGCCAGATGTCATTGTGAAGAAGCAGATCTTGGGGTGCAGTGCCAGAGGTCAGTAAGGATCTAGGGATGCAGTGCCAGAGGTAAGTATGTAGTAGATATGGGGGTGCTGTGCCAGAAGTAATTAATGAGCATATCTTGGGGTGCAGTGCCAGATGACAGTAAGGAGCAGATCTAGGAGTGCAGTGCCTGAGGTCAGTATGGAGCAGGTCTAGGTGTGCAGTGCCCAAGGTCAGCATGGAGCAGATCTAGGGGTACAGTGCCAGGGGTCAGTAAGGAGCATGTCTATGAGTGCAGTGTCAGAGATCAATGAGGAGCAGGTCTAGGGGTGCAGTGCAAGAGGTCAGTAAGGAGCAGATCTAGGAGTGTAGTGCCAGAGAGCAATAAGGAGCAGGTCTAGGGGTGCAGTGCCAGAGGTCAGTAAGGAGCAGATATAGGGGTGCAGTGCCAGAGTTCAGTAAGGGGCAGGTCTAGGTGTGCAGTGCCAGAGGTCAGCATGGAGCAGGTCTAGGGGTGCAGTGCCAGAGGTCAGCATGGAGCAGGTCTAGGGGTGCAGTGCCAGAGATCAATAAGGAGCAGATCTTGGGGTGCAGTGCCAGAGGTCAGTAAGGAGCAGATCTTGGGGTGCAGTGCCAGGGGTCAGTAAAGTGTAGATGTAGGGGTGCAGTGATAGGGGTCAGTAAGGAGCATGTCTAGGAGTTCAGTGCCAGAGATCAATAAGGAGCAGTTCTAGGGGTGCAGTGCCAGAGATCAATAAGGAGCAGATCTTGGGGTGCAGTGCCAGAGGTCAGTAAGGAGCAGATCTTGGGGTGCAGTGCCAGGGGTCAGTAAAGTGTAGATGTAGGGGTGCAGTGACAGGAGTCAGTAAGGAGCATGTCTAGGAGTTCAGTGCCAGAGATCAATAAGGAGCAGTGCCAGAGGTCAGTAAGAAGCAGATTTAGGTGTGCAGTGCCAGAGGTCAGCATCGTGCAGATCTAGGGGTGCAGTGCCAGAGGTCAGTAAGGAGCAGGTCTAGGTGTGCAGTGCCAGAGGTCAGTAAGGAGCAGTGAACCTTGAATTCAATTTATGCTGCAGCGGGACCTCGCATGGGTCTATTCTGAGTCTATTGCTATTCTACCAATTGTTATTTGCTCAGATTACAATGAAGTCCAGCAGCTTTCTAATCCTACCACTATCTCTAAGTTTAGCTCAACCAGGAGAGTTGGGGGTAGTAGGCACTACAGAGGACTCCACAGAAAAACAATGTCTGTACCTATTATTCGTTACTCAGAGTATGAGAGAATATAGTCAGAGTATAATATTATGATTTTATACATGTATCCAATGCTTCCCAATATATATATATATATATATATATATATATATATATATATATATATATATATATATAGATAGTTAATACAATGCTAAACAAAAATCTGCACACCAGTCAAGCCATAAGACTTGCTTTTCCCACAGAAATCCCAAATCAGCAGTGATGTTACAACCGCAAAGGATTCTGGGTGGGCATATGCAAATTAGTTTAACAAAGAATCACATTTTTGCCTCATTCCATTTTAAACATGGATTCCTTTTAATTTGTGTTTGCAATATACAACTGCTTGGAACACAATTTAGGATAAGATGCAAAACCAGTGAACCACTCATGGACAGCTGTTTCGTTGTTAATGCAACTCTTCAGCATGAGGTTGGTTACTGGTTTGCTAATTGAGGCTTGGTAGTGCTTGGGAAGCAAAATCTAAAAAGGTTATGGTGGGGAAAAATTGTGATTGAAAACCCCTTCCACCTGAATTATGTGGATAGTTAATACAATGCTAAACAAAAATCTGCACACCAGTCAAGCCATAAGACTTGCTTTTCCCACAGAAATCCCAAATCAGCAGTGATGTTACAACCGCAAAGGATTCTGGGTGGGCATATGCAAATTAGTTTAACAAAGAATCACATTTTTGCCTCATTCCATTTTAAACATGGATTCCTTTTAATTTGTGTTTGCAATATACAACTGCTTGGAACACAATTTAGGATAAGATGCAAATGTATATATGTGTGTGTGTGTGTGTGTGTGTGACTACGTGTTTTATTGGTATGTGTGTTTTTGTATTAGTAGTTGTCCTGATTAAACTTATGATTTTAAACCGAAACGTTGATTTCGAAATAAGTTTTAGCAATATATACACATTAACCAGACTTGTAATGGGGTAATTGCATAACACTATGTGTGTGTGTGTTTGAATTTGACATCAGCAGTAGGTATGTGAATTGTATTTTTTGTAATTCATTTTACTAGATCAGAATCATTGTAGCTAATTACACCGATGGTTTCCACGTTTCCCTTTAAATTCTGGATGGCTGTTTCCAGCTTATTGTTCCATAAAAACAGAGCCCCCAATGTTATGCCCATTGTGATTGTGTACAAAAGTGTTAGTGGGCGCTTGGCTGCACAGTGAAGCCTGAATCTCGCTCTATTTACTGTATGGTCACTGTCAGTTCAATGAACTGCTCGCTTGTTCTCCGCCATTGTCCTGCACTCCCTTAAACATTTGTCACTGCAATGCCTCCCAACACAAATAAACTGTCACCCTCAATCCAGACTTTGCAAGTGGGAATTAAAAAGTGCAGGGGGGAGGAGGAGGTTAGGACACATTAGCTAATTTTACATTAATTTAAACAGACCCTGCTTAGTTTTCTTAAATGGATTTGCAAAGTCAATAGGGTTAAGAAGTGATCTACAGAATAATCAACACAGATAATCCTAAAAGAGACAGGACATATTCATAGGGATTAGTTAGTTGTTGTTTTTTTTACCCTAAAGATTTTCTACATAGAACACTATCAAAACAGTTCTGCTTATTGTGTGAGACTAAAAAATGCTGATCACCCACCTCCTGTAGTGCAGCATGGGCTGGAAAACAGATTTTAATGTAAATACCAGAGATTCTTACCTGACCAGTACAGTCTCAGCAGGACATGGCCATCATAGAACCATTTGGTTGAGGAGGAAGCCTGATACCCTAAAAGTGAAGGCATTCATGCCTCCTGCTGCTGATTTATAGCAGGCAGATGCTTTTGACAGGAGCCTGTAAAATCGAGTCTTGAGTTTATTGTGCTAGGTTAATTATCAGTCCAGCTGTCAGCACAGCCTTTCTGATGACATCATTATATATATTTACTTTTTTATATATACATATCATCAGCAAACACCATTATGTTAGAGTAGATGTGACTGACTTTAATAATTTTCTAAAATAAATGTGTAATAGTAACTACTTTGTTGAAAAATAAATGATCAAGATCTGAAGGTCAATCCAATATTTTCAGTCAATACAGGATCCATTGAATCATGTCCTTATAAAACATATGCATACAAGTGTCACTATATAGTATATCTAATATTAATATTGTGTGTATATGTATTTCTATGCTATGTTTCTTCCAATATGAACCTGTCACACTGTATATGCTGTGATCGCTGCTGTATTTTCAGGATCTGATCACTAAGACCGGTTAGGTTAAAAATAGAAGTTAAACAAACAGCAGCAGAGGATAAATAAACTCCTGTGTGTGCCTAAACTTGGCACAGTGAAAGTTAAAATCCCCAGAGAACCGACTTCTCCCACTTTTCTTTGTGTTGCATGTTTGAACGATTTTCAAACGCCAGAGAGTTTATTCCTACTGCAAACATTTCTATTTACAAGGTCAAGTGTATCAGCACTCGACACAGCTTAAAAGTGTAATTATTTATCTAAGGGCGTTTGAGTGTGGATCAGTAGCCTTGGCAGAATACCAGCCTTTAGCCAACACCAAAACTTGTCAACAATATCACAGGTCTTTGTATTTGTTATTGCCTTGCACTGGGCAACAAGTGTCTCCCAATTTCTGTAATAAATTACACATTATTATTTACTATACCACAACTGTGATTGGGTTAGATATTCATACAGGGATAGTCTGTACTGGGGCAACTTTAAAATACAGGCACCTTGTGACTTTAGTAGTTGGTGTGTATGAATTATTAAATATGTACATATATAATGATAATTTATTTAAATAAAATATTGTTTACATAATATATATGTATGTATAAAATATATATGTATTCAGATAAGACATGGTGCTCACCTATGAAATTACTTAGAAAACATATAAACTGCTTAAATTTAAACAAAACTTTTTTTAAAGTTCAGCATCAATGGTACCTGGTTCCAACTAGATTGGCCAAGATATCTGCATCTAACTCCCCTCTATGCTGGAGGTGTCTATCTTATGAGGGAAATATGTTACATATCTGGTGGGGTTGACCAAAAATAAGTACCTTATGGGAATCAATATATCTTTTTTTGTCTCTTTTAAATATTAAAGTTAAAGTGCCCAGAAGCAGGCCTACTCCATATTAATTGGGATAGACTCCCAAGAGATCAATTAATATTGACCATCCATTCTTTTATAGCGGCGAAAATACTAATCGCAAGATCTTGGAAACAGATAACTACGCCAGATATGAAACAGTTTTTAGCACAATTATTACTCCAGCTGGAAATGGAGAGAGGAGTCGCATATTCACATAACTGTAACTGTATACACCACTTGGATAAGTGGATAACTAAAGTTAAAGAATGGTCTCCTTAAAGATCTATCTAATAACACAGGTTTCTCTCCAAACTGTTTTCCTTTAGTTTCATATATAGATCCAACCAATAATCGAAGAATGATTTTTATGTATGCTCAGTATGTCTTGTCTTGTGTTAGTATTTGTCTTTTAGTACCAATGTAAGTTAAAATTGTTTTCTTTCTTTTGGTATTTATAAATGTTAAAATATTTCAGTTAAGAGAAATTAAAACCTAATATATATATATATATATATATATATATATATATATATATATATATATATAAATATTACACACATGCACAAATTGCATACATACTAGAAATGAATGTCCCAACCTCAGTTCTTTGTAAAATCATTTACTATTGAAGGGAGAAAATACAGTCAATATTTTCCTTTCAGATGATGCTGTTATTGCATTTATAAAAATACAAAAAAAAGGAAAATGTAAGGCAGCACTTAAAATCATTTATGCAATTCTAAAATGTCCATAAATTCTCTGCAAAAATAGGATTCACATCAACAAATCTATAAAATACACTGTACATTTTGAAACACATCCATTATTTTATGTACCTTTCTTAAAAGCATCACATTGGTGAGCGCATAGAATTCATCTCTATATTTTAAATAAATTATTCAGAGGATACGTTTTATATAAAAATATGTACACATGTATAACAACCTAAAATATAAAAAACAATCCACTTTTAAATACACTATTTATAAGTCTTGCCAGACTGAATCACATTGATACCTTTAGAAGCAATATAAAAATCTGAATGCTATTTACACAATATCGATAAAGGTGTCTTTTTTAGGATGGCAGTGCAGAGCTTTTAGACAAGTTGCTTTGCTCAAGTAATCCACCAACTATCTGAGGAGGAGATAAATGATAAGGGTTTCCCCTGCTGAAAATAATTACAATTAAAAAAAAAATTACATTTGCATAACAATGCCAAATGCTGCATCACAAAATAAAATCTCATAAAAACAAAGGGGTTTATTTACTAATCAATGACTTGTTAAAAGTGAAAAAATGGGTTGCAAAAATTATGACAAGTTATACATTTGAAGGGTTTTTTTTGTCCAAATTTAAAAAGTTGGTAGTGAGCACATCCTAATTCACTATTTAGTGGATAGTTAATACAATGTTAAACAAAAATCTGCACACCAGTCAAGCCATAAGACTTGCATTTCCCACAGGACTATCCTGTCTATCCACAGACTTTAGGTGGAAGGGGTTTTCAATCATCTTCACTATTTAGTGAATAGACCCCAGAAGCTTTATGGATGGTAATTCACAACAATGGTGATTTTATTACAAAAAGTGATGCTATCTCTACCTCTGAAACTTGTAATCAGTTGTTGTAAATCTGCATTCTGAAATTAAGACATTATTCTGTGCTTTAAATACCAGAATCTCTTAAACACAGTAAGGCAAACTTGGAATCGTTTTTGAGTCTGGCATTGGTGAAAGAGGCACTGAAGGGTTAAATCAGTAACTGTAAAGCAGTCATTTTGGGAACTTCAGCTGGTACACCTGTCACAGTGTTTTCAAACAAGCATTTAAGCCTAGAGAGCACTGAATTAATACAATTAAAGGCATTTCTGGTGACTATGCTAACTCTTAAAGTGTGTACAGTACTGCATAGTGGATACATAGAGATTTATATGTAAAAAGCAGTTTGGGGCAAAGTTGTAAAAGTGCATCAGAATTTATTTTCACTCATGACTAATTCACTGTTAGAACTTTACTCCAGAACTGCTTTTCATACATAACTCATATATAGTTTTTTTATATACATATAACTCATATGTTTTACAACTAACATGACATATGTTGTCCTAGTTGACCCTCTCCCCCCTCTTCCAACTGCTTGGATGTGCAGGTATTTAATACAGGCAAGAACAGCTGATGAGAGGGTGAGACTATGGCAGGGTGAATGGTGGTTAAATGAGCACTGTTAACTTATGCATACACTGGCACCTGGTCTGGCAGCTCTTCAGCTGTCTTTAGATTCCGACTCTCCTCCCATAGCGCCCACATGGAAATAGATTTGTTAAGGCACAGCTTTAGTAAGGTGATAAGAGTTGCACTGACTGGGCATCAAGTAATCACCAACCCGCATGTTGCATGAGATTGACATGTGAGTGCCTGGAGTGTCAAAGTGTTCACCCCAACCCACACGCAAAGAGGGCACCTAGTACCTCAGTGAATAGGGTGTGATGGTAGCAGCCAGTTACCCTGGGATGGGGAATAAAACAGCACTCATAGGGGTTGTATGTATAAATAGTATTCCTGGGGCACAGTTTAAGAGTGGAGTTCTAAGAAATGTTCCATTCATAGAACGTTGCCCCAGATTGACTCTTTATACCCAACTCATAGCATGACACACATTGACTTGTCCACATCAACCCAGCTATAGCAACCCTAGCATTAGTCCAATGGCTGCCAGGAGAGTCCACGAAAGGGCAGCGCAAGCAGTAGTCCCATTGCTATCACTGCCCTGATTGACCTTCCTGCCCTCCACCATCACTCCGTCCTCAATAGAGCCCTTACTGCCCCCAATCTCTTCATCATCGTACTCATCCCCATAGTCATAGTCTGACCCCCCGCTGCTGCCCGGGCCCCCCATACCCATCTCCGCCCCAAAGCAAAGCCTGGCCATGTTCTCCTTGATGGACTCGCAGATGGCCCTCTCCATGCCGTCACACACACAGTCATTGAGCAGCATGGCCTTGGGCACCTGCATCATGTCCTCGATCACCGCCCTGCACTCCTCCGTGCAGCGCACCCCATTGAACAGCCGCCCGCAGTGGTTCAGGTAGCGGCCCAGCGAGATGCTGCATCGCCGGTCAGCCTCGCACACCCTGCGGGCTTCCATGCAGCCCATCACCGCCCCTCCTCCCGCGCTGCTCCCGCCACCTCCAGCATGGGCGCCACCTCCGGCACCTCCCCCGGCCGAGCCGCCGCCGCCACCGCCGCTGGTCCTGGGCAGGCACGGCTCGATGGCCCGCTTGGTGGCTTTGCACACCTCGTCCATGGCGCAGTCGCAGTCCTCCAGCGCGGGCCCCCGCTTGGTGTGGTTGAGCTGGATGAGGGCAGCGATGCAATGACTGGGGCACCGGCGCCGGCCGGAGCTATGGGACGAGGAGGGGGTCTCCCCCGGCCTGGGCAGCACCGAGGCGCAGGCATCCGTGTACTGGCTGTAGGCATAGTGGCACTCCATCTCGCCCTGGCACTGCATCATCGCCTGCCAGCAGATCAGTCTCCGGCCCGCTGCCAACCCCAGCACGGAGCCCAGCAGCAGCAAGCACGGGATCCTCCAGCCAGCCATGGTAGGGGCCAGTGGGGGCAAGTCACACAATAAAACAAGCGTGGGCTCAGCTGGAGCAGGGATGTGAGAGCATGGGAGCCTCAAAGCAGCCAATCCATCCAAGTACTAGCCCTCCTGGTCCTCCTGCAGAGCTGGTCCTCACTGGGAGAGCTTGGAAAGGGGATGGCAGGGACTGCAGACCGGTGCCCCCTTGCAGGGCACACAGCTCATGTCTCCTGCCTGGCTGGGTATCCTTGCACAAGTGCGCTCTGGCTGGATAATTTTAGTCCCCTTCTGCTGCCTCCAACCAAGAGCTCCTCACAATGAGCCGGCTGTAATGTAAAACGGCCGAGTCCTTAGCTGTCCCATTCACTGCTCTCCTCCTGGGTGAAGCTGGAGTATTTTCACTTTCTCACAGAGGGGAGGAGAAAAAGAGGGAAAAGAAAAAAAAACTTGGGGTCTGTAGAGGCTTCTGCTACTGACCCACTGATGGTTCTCCTGTCAACAAACCAGGGATCAGTCTGTGAAGTGTTTGCAGGCTTTAAATACACAAACTGCACTCACAACGTGCTCCCATTACACCTCATTATGCATGCATGGAAAAGCAAACAAACACAAAATAGAGCGATGCTGCTGCTTCTCATCCAGCCTGCTCAACCTCTCTGCTTTTCTCCTGATCTCCTCGCCCTTTGCTCAGCCCCTTTCCCGGGTCTCTTTCATGCCATTGGTCCAAAAAAGCTTGTTGTTGAAACTTTTTTTGTGTGTGTGCGACTGTGAGTGCGTGTGTTAGTGAGAGATCTTCTGAAGGGGGATGGTGATGGATGGAGCAGAGGGAGGGGGCTTTGGGAACCAAATGCTTTAGAAAGGGTGACATATATCCCACCCATTTCTACACCCCCTCCTAATATTGTATTTTTTTTTGTCCTGGCTGTGTAGTCCTATGTTGGAACAATTCAACATTTACAGACTGCATAGATTGCATGAAATCAGCTCACTTCTAGGTTTTACCTATAACTAATGCAATAAGGAATCACACACAAAAATATTTTATAAATAAGATTAGTAATACTCATAATTATTACGAGAAGAGCATTTTGTAGCAAATATTTGCTTTTAAATACATTGCATCTCTTAACAAATGAATCTGAGGAAATTTATTTTTAATTATTATTATTATTATTATTATTATTATCATTCTAGTTTATAAGACACCAGGGTATGCCACAGAACTGTAAGCTGGTTGAGCAATGCCCTTATCACCTTATGTTCCCAAACATCCAACTTTTCTTGTTGTTACTACTTGTTAGTCCAACTATTGTACAGCACTGCAGACTATGTTGGCGCTTTATAAAATTAATAATAGCAAAATAGTATTTTTTTAGTATTTACAAAGTACTCTGAGTTTGGCAGACTACTGATCACAGAACTGACAATTTAACATTGGATTTATTGTACATGATCTCATACATAACATGATATTGTTAACCCTTCAGAAATCAATGACAAGAATTATTACTACTGTTATTTATTTGTATAGAGTCATAAAACACAAATTGCTAGGTACACAAGTAAAGAGTATTTTTGAAAAGACACCAACAAACTGATACAGTAGGTTTTGATAGTCTTGACAAGAAGCTTACAATCGAAATAGGAATGAGTTGGAATAGACAAAGTTGTTTGTAAAGAACGAATACCATATGCAACATGATTGTTTCATGATGCGTTATACCCATTGCAGATGTCAGATTGAAGTGACAGATTTTACAGAGGAGAAGATATATTGTATGTACAGAAATCTGCTGCCATACTTTCATCGTATTAAAAAACAAAGTAAAGAAAGTTATAACAAGTCCTTTGGCTTTATCGCTTACAAACATTTGGCGATGAATATTGCAGTATGAAAGTCTGGATTCCAGTGGAGCTAGGCTGCATGCCTAAGGCACTAGAAATTCTCGGATCAAATGAACATTTTTTAGATGTGAAGAACAGCAAAGATGGTCCAAACAGCATGGGTGCAGCCATCGCGTCTCCACACTAGAATTCCTAACGGGGTAGGCCAAATTTGACACTTTTGTTGTTATTGTTGAACAGCAGCTTCCAACCTCCCCAGCTAACATATTCTCCACTTTAAAATTCCAATTTCCTGACAAAGGAGCAAGATACGTTTAGAAATTAAGCTGTTCTTATACTGTAACTCACAACACCCCCACTCAAAACAATTGCTCTAGTGCAAATCCTAGCACAGAGGCAAACTACATATTATACTTTGATATCTAAAAGGTTATTTACTAAAGAGCAAATTTGTCAGAAGTTCAAAGTGAATTTACAATTTAAGGCCGAATTAGCTAACCTCGGAAAATTCAGTTATGCTTCCAGTTCATCTACTTTGGCCTTAAATGTGAAGTCCACTTAGTATTCCCGAGTCCCGACAATTCTCACTTTAGTGAATAACCCAGACAGACTCTGAAATTGCAATACATTTCTTAAACTTTACTTTCTACTCTCAATTTGATCTCACAAATCTCTTTTTCTACGCAACCCCCTTTGCCTCCTGTCTCCATCAAGTGTCACCCCTGCTACACTGTAAGACTGCTGCTTTTGTACCAGTGTGTGGCTGTGTATATATTATATTGAATGTTATTCAAGTTTTAAACATTAGCTTGTCTTTAAATCCTTTTAGCACAGCATTGCTGAATCTGCCGTCATTTTAAAAATTAAAAAAGAAAAAGAAAACAATAAGGCTCAGTCTCTCTGTTTAAAAGCTTACCAATTTGCCAGACACCCAAGTTGTTGCTGCTATACCTCAGCTTAAAGTACCCCTAGAATAATCATGAAATTCTATTGGAAACTGTCATTAGATATAAGCTAAGCTGCTGATCTACAGCTTCCATAAACTCAGACAGTCCTTGAATGGCAGTGGATAGTGTGATATGTGAAAACCAGAAGCTGAATTGTTGAATATTAATGGTCCATGTCCAAATATTTAACCACAAATGTAAACTTATTGCTTGTGCACTAACACTACTTACTGTTATCTCGTACTTTATATCTTTCCCAAATAGTGCAATTGTTCAGTAACTTAATCAGCAAAAATAATTTATAATTTTTTATGAAATTAATCATATATGATTATTAGGACATAATGGATAGTCTCTCAAAAATTAGGAGCCTAGCTTCCTTTCATTGTATAATGAAGGAAGGTGGGTTTGAAAACTGTTAATTATATTCACTAAATACCATATTGTAAGATCCTGGAACCTTAAAGTTTGAACATTTTTCGGTGCATAAACCAAGCTAGGGTCTCTGTGTCTTCATATCTGTGTGCCTGTTTGTTTCTAGAAACCTCCATTTGTTCCTTCTATTAATAGAATGGGTAACAAACAAGCGGACACTAACAGGGTTATCCGCTAACGTGTGTATTATCAACAATGCAAAGTGAATATAAAACAAATGACAAATTCTAGTCCAAAATAGCTGAACAGAACGCATATCTGACTTGGAAATTTTTCTTTTCCAGCTTGCCTATTGTGGCCTAAATATCAGTTTGAATTTCAGACATCTTGCAGTAAAGTGAATAACCCTGACAGGGTTACATCCAAAAATAAAATATACAACATGGCACGTGATGTCTGAGAATTTGCTTTTTCAAGCTTACAAACATTACTGTTTATTTACAATCCTTGAACACATTTCACTGCGATGTATAACAGATTGAATCTGTCTCCATATATTTGACAACATTAACTTAATCAACAAACTGTAGTGAAACTAGCAATAGGTCACAGTCTATCATTAGTGGTCAAATAGTAGATCTCCAGCTGTTAGAGAACTACACATTCCATGATGTTTTGACAGTTCTGTGGCTGGCAAAGCCTTTTCGGAGTTGCAGTTCTGCAACAGCTGGTGTTTTAATTTTGTATTCCTTTTCTGAGGAGAACACTCTAGATTACATTTTTAATTCATTTTTTCGTGATTTTCCTTTCTTACCCTTTTACAGTTAGGTAGAATCCAAGGATCTCTAAAACCTCAGAATGGTTAATGTGGTTGCTGTGGTACCTGAGGCCAACAAGATATTTGCTTTTCTTTAACGAACTTTCAATGCCACATTAATATGTAGAGCAACTCAGGCATTAACCACAAGAGGCAGTGGTGTCTGCAGAGTGTAAAAAAAACAAAACTCTTCAGTTTTTCAAGCAGGGTAAAGGAAAGCTAAACAGAAACACCAACCTTAGCCTGTAATAATTTCTTCATTATCAAACAATTATTTTAAGGATGTTCACATGGACATTAATATGTGGCAGTGAAAGTACAGGCATTACGTTAGCTGTTAGGAACACTTTGTAGTAATGAGAGGCATGCTGAGTATTTTATTATACACAGATTCTTCTCACAATGTCCACAGAATTCTCAGCTAATGAGCATTGCTATAAAAAAAAAAATACTTTCGAGTGGAAAGGACAAAAAAAGGTGCACCCTTTTATTACCGTAATCTATATAATTTCCACTGGCAGGTATCCATTCTTCTTAAAGGGAAATTATGCAATTTTTTTTATAGCCTCATATAACTGGAATTAACATACCATTCCCAGTAGTCTACCTACAAATCAGCTTTTCTTGATTCATACAGGAAATTATCGTCAGGATAAGCTTTGTAGTAAAGTATTTAATAGTACACATGAACAAGAAGAAAAATAAGTTGATGTGTCTAACATTAGTTTTGCACACCCTTTGGGGTTTGTATATTAAACACTTAAACGTTCAGCTTAAAAAATATGCTCAAATCTTATAGCAGGAAAAAAATACATCTTCTTGAGGTAAACACTTTTTTTTTCAGGTGAATAGTCACATGTAATGGTCCCTTTGTTGGTTTTTGTTGTTGTTTTTTAAGTGAATAAGCTGCTTTGTTCAGCTGTATTGTTAACAGACAGTCACATTAAATTAGCAATTTTGGTACCACAACCACTACAAAACGCTGTAGATTTGACACTTATCTGTTTTCCTAGACATCCAAACTAAAATTTTGAATTCTAGAATTATAGTTCCTATAATTTCTGTGGGCGAAGTAACTTCAGTGTGTGTAAATGCAACTGTTGCTGCCATAGCAACAGCCCAGGAACTAGGCCAAGTTGACAGCAGTCTTATAAGATGATTATGGAAATTGTGCTTTTTTTTTTTTTTTTTTCATGATATTAAGATTTTTGTTTTAACATTTAAAATTAAAAATACCTCTATTCTCAAAGGTACAATCATAAAGTTGGTAACCCGTGAATATGAACATGTGAAGCATTTAAAAAACAATTCCTCATGCAAAGTGTTGCACCTGTTGGACCTTTAGAGATTATGGATAATTGCAGACATTTCAGGTTATTTGACTGAATCTGATTTATAGAACTGCTTTGAAAGTCTTTGGTTTTGGCCCAGTAGCCAAAACAAAGTTAAAATGTATTTTAAACAATAGCCACTTTAATAAAATTATAAATAAACAAATTATACTTCAATCCCAGCAATATTTATAGCTGAACAAACAAAATAAATTAAAATTAAACAAAACAATAAATAAAAATCATGCACTTCAAGTAGAAATACTGCACATACTGACTCCAACCACCTTGACCACTTCAAATCACTGAAGTGGTAATGATGGTTTGAGTAACCCTTTAACTCAATGCAACATTGGCATGGCTCTGTTAGCATTAGTCATTAAAACCATTCATATGTAATTATCATGGATAAGAGCCTCAATTAATGGCATTTACTGCAGGAATGAGTTCAAGAATTTCAGACTAATATAAAAACTGCAAGTATTATTTAAGTATGTAAGTGTTATAATACTAACACATCTAAAGGCAGGCTATTTCAATCTAGTAGGGTGATGCTTGCTTTAATATGAGATGCAATTTTAAATTTAAAAACAAAACAAACTGGAGTAATAGTAATCTATTCATTTATATAGAGCTTAACTCACCTAGGAGATTTAGCACGTATACACACACAATCTTAGATTTAGCAAGATTATTACACGTTTACGAGATGTTTTTATCCAGTTTAATGGATCTCATTTTACTGATCTCAGGATCCAACTACCATTCATTTTATTTAAAGGGACACTCCAGGCACCCAGACCACTTCTGCCCATTGGAGTGGTCTGGGTGTCAACTCCCACTACCCTTAACCCTGCAACTGTAATTATTGCAGTTTTCATAAACTGCAATAATTACCTTGCAGGGTTAAGTCCTCCCCTAGTGGCTGTCTAGTAGACAGCCACTAGAGGGCACTTCCTGGTCCATAGCACAGGTTTTCTGTGCTATAGCGTCGCTGGACGTCCTCACGCTGTGTGAGGACCTCCAGCGTCGCTAAAATCCCCATAGGAAAGCATTGAAAAGCATTAATTTTCAATGCTTTCCTATGGAGAGGTCTAATGCGCATGCGCAGCATTGCTGCGCATGCACATTAGGTCTCCCCAGCCGGCGGGCGGGATCATTCTCCCCCGCTGGCTGACGTAATGAAGGGGAGGAGCGGCGGCGGAGGAAGAAGCAGCGATGTGGGACATGTCGCTGCCTCTGGTAAGTGACTGAAGGGGTTTTCACCGCTTCAGCAACCGGGGATGGGAGGTGGGAGGGAGAGTGGACCTGCAGTGCCAGTCCCTTTAAGCAACAACAGGAAGCAGATGTCCACCAGTCCACCATCAGATCTGCCTACATAAAGAGTGACTGATATGTATCATTGTACAAAGCCCATTGGCTGAGTGTGATCAGCTGAACCTGTCAACCAATGAGTGTCAGGACATTCCTGACACCATAACCACTACAGCATGCTTGGAGTGTCCCTTTAAAAATAATAATATTAATAACTCTCCTTTCATTATTTTGGTGGGAGGTGGGAGGTGGGAGGGAGAGCGGACCTGCAGTGCCAGTCCGTTTAAGCAACAACAGGAAGCAGATGTCCACCAGTCCACTATCAGATCTGCCTACATAAAGAGTGACTGATATGTATTATTGTACAAAGCCCATTGGCTGAGTGTGATCAGCTGAACCTGTCAACCAATGAGTGTCAGGACATTCCTGACACCATAACCACTACAGCATGCTTGTAGTGTCCCTTTAAAAATAATAATATTAATAACTCTCCTTTCATTATTTTGGTGGGAGGTGGGAGGTGGGAGGGAGAGCGGACCTGCAGTGCCAGTCCGTTTAAGCAACAACAGGAAGCAGATGTCCACCAGTCCACTATCAGATCTGCCTACATAAAGAGTGACTGATATGTATCATTGTACAAAGCCCATTGGCTGAGTGTGATCAGCTGAACCTGTCAACCAATGAGTGTCAGGACATTCCTGACACCATAACCACTACAGCATGCTTGTAGTGTCCCTTTAAAAATAATAATATTAATAATTCTCCTTTCATTATTTTGGTGTTTTAGGTCAGTCCTTATATTCCTTGCCCACCGACTGCTACTTTGGATTAAAGAAAACAGTAATGGTTACATATATAGCTATAAACTTGTGTATGTCAATGGCCAGTAGTTGCTAGTAAAATAAACAGCATGGATACTTTTATGCCATCACATGATTATGTCTTTACATTCCTAATTATCCCTACTGGATTTTACACTTTATGTATGTGTGATAGGGTAATCAAGCTTCTGAAACAAGCTTTTATCCTGCTAAAAGGTCATAAACTCTCCATTAAATTACAGCCAGTAAACCATCCAAATTTATGGAGCAGTCTCCACAAAAAGAAATTGAAAAGTCTGGAGATCAGTTTAAATCAATTTATAGATCTGTCTTCAATATATTCTGCGTTCACCTCAATCTGG